AGGTCGGTTGGTGCTTAATGACTCCTCAGAAGACCCATATTCTCCTCATTCCAACACAAGGGATATCGGTACAGACCAAGGTGTCGCACCAATGTAGCTTCTGCTTCACCCGTGTCGGTCTACGCCGGACATGTCCCTCACAGTTTATTGCTACCTAAAGGGTATTCCCCAGATCCGGGTTAGGATCTATGAAACTCCAATACAAGCCCACAAATATAAAAGCAAACAAGGCATACAATTGAAAACATAGAATGATCTAATCCTAAGGTACACCTCACTTATAAGATTATCCCCAGCAGAGTCGCCAGTTCTGTGATCGGTGGAAATAGAACTGACTGTTTTAAAATACTGGTTCGCGAAATGTCGCGGTAAGCAAGAGTCGTCACCGTCTTTTATTTTCTCCAACAAGGAAAGGACAAAAGCACAGTAAAATTCCTTTTCGAGATGTTTCTCGGTTCGGGAGGTAGATTATAGAAAGGGAAGGTGTTAACACCCTTTCTATCCGTGGTTATCCACGGGCTCTTAGGTACTTGCTCACTATGTTTTCAAAAAATGTTTGCTTTTCTTGTGTTTGTGGGTTTTGAAAAAGTTTAGTTTGAAAAACTTCTAGGTGACTCTTGTATCAGTCCTCAAGAGCGTATAAAGTGTTTGTTTGAAAACTTTTTGAAAGTGTAGGTGCGGAAAGTTATTTTTTTTGTTTTGAAAGAGCAAGTACCCAGGAGAAATCTACCTACTCTAAGGAATTAAGCTGTGTAAGAGTCCTTTAGACAATACTATCCCACTATTGAGAAGTAGGTAGCACTGTCGTTGGAGTTTTTGGGTCAATTAGATTTTAGGGACATGTGGTCACCAAAGCAATAGTAGGACGCCTTAGCGGTAACCCTAATGTCTTAGATCCTTTTTATCCGAGGCAACCGTTTCGAGGCAACTTGGATCTTTAGATAGGAGGGCGACCTCTAAAACACCCTATGCTCAATGACCACGTCGAGGCAACCAAGTGAGGCGTACCCTAGGAGTGGCATGTGTACGTGTGTCAGGTTTCATGTTTAAATTATCTTTGCACATTTTATGGTGAGCTACGGATTGATTTTATTTTTCAGGCAAGTCTTGTCATGCATAATTAACAGTTAATAATTGTGCGGAAAGTAAATTGCGGAAAGTGAATCTACGCTATTACGAGGCGTCGGGTATTTACATCGCCAAAAACATAACCCTTGAAAAATAAATTGCGAGAAAATAAAGAAAGCGATAAAAGCCCTAATTATCTATTACATTCTTGGAACAAATACATAAATATGATCAAAATAATGAATTAAAAATAAATATGCGCGCGAAAGAATTGAATCGGGACGTCTTTAGGGTTTTGACCCTTTTTTAGAAAAGAATAGAATTTTGGTCCTTTTTGCAATTAATTAAACCTAATTCTAATTAATTAAATAATCACAAGAGAAACATATTTTTTAGTTTTTTATGTTTTAATGAAAATAAAAATAAAATAAAATAAAGTTGTCAAAACCCTAATTCTAGATTAATTTTATTTATTGTGAAAAAGATTAAAGTTAACCTAATTTAAAAGACTAAATCAATTTTATTAGTATTTATTTACAAAATAATAATTAATAGTGAAATTAATAAATAATAATAATAATAAAATATTTACATTTTTAATGGTCTGAATTTATTATGAAAAATATTAATTAAGTGAGTTAATAAAATAATAATAATTAATAGCTATAATTAATAAAATAATTAAATAGAAATTGAAATAGAAAAGAAAAAAAGAATAAAGAAAACCAGGGGGGTGCTGGGCCCAGAAGGAGTTTTGTTAGAAATTCCAAGCCCATTAAGCCACAAGCCTCTTTGACTTTCTGACTTGTCCATGGCACTGGTTGACCAGGAGCAACATGGTCCTCATCTCATGGACATCAGATCTGTGAGGGTGGCCACTTGGCGCCTGGGATTGGAAAGAATATGGTGGACATCATTTGAAAGCCTGCACATGATTAGGTGAATAAAAACAACAAATAATAGTTTTGGGGGACCTGGGGTTCGAACCCAGGTCCCAATGATCATATGCCAGCACACTAACCACTCCAACCACCTGCACGCGTTTGTAAGTATAATGCTAAGCAATTAATATATTTGGACAATTAATACATATGCTGAAATCACAAAAAACGCGCGCTCGTTTGAACGCTCCAACCATGACTCAACACGTCACCGTCTTCTTCCTCGTGCCTGCAAAATAAAGGTCAGATATCGGGGGTTTTTAACCCCCACAATATGGAACAAGGAATAATAACGATTAGCTCCCTAGGCTATATAAATATGGCACGAGTATGGCATTCAATTCATCTGGTTGCAACGATTTCAACCATAGGTCTTAGAGGTGCTAATTTTTCCTGTATAGCAAAGCCCTAATTTGAAAACTTGGAAACCCTAGAATTCATCAATGGCAATTTCTGTTTCAGGGCGTTTCAATGCAATTAAACCACACCATTAGCTTTGTATGAGTCCTATTAACACAAAACAATCACAATAGCATGTTAAATATGCATGAATCAAAGTATACGATTTTGGAAAAATGCTTCAAACCGTGAAACTGTTTGCAACGATTTCTTGAGCTATGAAGCTTGGTTTTGATTGCAAATCGTTCCTCACACTCCCAGCAATGTATTTGAATCATTATAATGCTTTGAATTGGCTTGGAATGTGGAAAACGGTTTTCAAGTTTTCTTGAATTTTTTGGAATTGGTTATGGCCTTTCTGCAACAGCTTTCACGTCCAATGCATTAGGGTTGACTTGTGTATTTATAGAGGAATGAAACTAGGTTAAATCCTTGAGCAAAGATCCATGGAATGATGGTTTCAATATTTGATTTTCAATCATATCTTTTTGCATCTTTTTGATTGAGAAAACTTGCCAAACTTGGAGATTTTTGTCCCCTTGATGTGCACACGAATTTGCCAGCTTGTCTTGAGCTTGTTTGCTTCACAAAAGATTGAAAAAAACATATCTTTGAATTTCCTACATTTTAAATTAATTAAATGAATTAAAATCAATTAAAAATCCAATTAATTAATAAAAAATAAGAAAATAATTCAATTTAATCTCAATGGGTCGTGCATAGGCCTTGGATAAAGTTTCAAGAAGCAAATTGAGGCCCATTAGCAAAAATAAGGTGTTTTGAGCAAAGTTGACTTTTGCAAATTCACAAAAATTTCCCAACTTCTCCAATGCATATCTTGCTCAATTTTGATCATATGAACATGTTCTTGGACATTTTGGAAAGGTCTTGAAGTCCTCTAACCAATGCCTTTTGTCCCATGTCATTTGGATTTACCAATCTCAAGTTATGGTCTTTGACTTAAAGTGCATTTTTGTTGACTTTTGAAATTGACCTATAATGTAGAAATTGATAACTTTTTGTGAGAGCATTTCTTGGACTTGGAATGTGAAGATGGATTATAGGAAATGTCATCCCCTTCAAAATAAGCATTGGATGGGATTTTTCTAATAAACCATGAAAAAGTTATGCCCTGGTCAAGATACAATTGCCTTTTTTGCTGTCCAAAAATAGTAACTTTTGCATCTTTGATGATTTTTGAGCCATGCTTGTGGAATCATGATCAAGACTTGATCAAATGATGATTGTGAGCTCAAAATAATATGTTGACCAAAAATTCTGACTTTTGACTATAAAATGACCATTTTCCCTTGCAGTTGATTGTGAAGCAAATGGAGCTTTTGACTGTGCAATTTGACATTGTGAGTCTAGGGACTTCAAATGTAGATGCTTGGCAATGTACATAGGCCCATGTGACTTGATTGGACTATTGAAAACCTCAAATTCCTTGAGAGAACCAAAACCCTAATTTCAGCTGGCTTAGGAGGTGGTTTGGACTGTGCAGTCCTTGAGAAATCTTGAACCATTTGAAGATGATTCTTGATAAATTTTGAAGAATATGGGAGGGAAAATTTTGGGGTACAACACCATGTTCTCTTAGGATATGCTTGCTCCGTTCGAATGTAAGTTAGACCTTAGGTTGCAAACCATGCATGCTAACATTAGGTAGACGTTTCCCTTTTGTTAATCCAAATCTTAGGACCACCGTTGTATGATAACATTATGTTATAAATAGGTTAGTCTCCCTTAGACTATTTTCTTCCCCTTTTGCATATGCATTTAAAACTAAAACCTCTTTTCTTAGCAAATCAAAAGCATGCTAATCTCACTTAAACCCCCTTTTCAAGGTAACAAAACACAAACCAATCAAACGTGGCATCTTGCCTCGAGGGCGTAACTCGAAATTATTTTCAAGTAAGGACATGATTAATTTACTTATGTGCTAATGCATAAGTCTCCAAAGGTCGAGCTGCAGCAGAAGGCGAAATTAACATTATTCATAAAAAACACAAAACAAACAAAACATGCCAGCCGGACTACGGTAGCTATGATTCCTCAAAAAGGATACGTAGGCATTGGGGTAGGGCCCAAGCGAGTACAACTTTATTTTCCCTACATTCTTTTCTTTCTTTTGCATGCATTTTTCCTCAGTAATAAACAATAAGCATATATATTAAACACACCCATAAGATAGACAACAAGAGTGGATACCGTAAAGTACTATGGGTGTATGGGGTGCTAATACCTTCCCTTCGCGTAACAAACTCCCTTACCTAATCTCTTGGTCGCAAGACCGTGACTTATCTCTTCTCAGGTTTTCTCGATGTTTACCTTTCACTCTATGTGGGATAAAAGACGTTCGATGGAGACTTCATTGTTTGATGATTCTCAGCCGGTTATTTCAACTGGTGGCAAGAAGTTTATTGAAATACCCAAAGTGCACCATTACAGAATCATTCACGTTCTAAAGGCTATTACATCATAATCACAACACCTAAAAAATCCTAAGTCTTTCATGCTATAATAATACTAGACTCTTCATGCTCCATCTTTAACGAAATTTACTCCCTTGCTAGCACTAGTGTCATGGTATCACGTTGCTTCAAATCTGCAGCCAGATAATGTCGCAAACATACACCAAAACAGCTTGCCCTGCACATCATCACAAAAGAGTTCAGCTGATGTCCATACTAAGCAACCTGCATAATCGTTTTGAAGGAGAAAATCAGGAAAATGCTTCATACCAGATGAAATCGATTCACAATAAAGCTATCTCAGAATATAAGAAAAAGGGAAGTATTATATCAGAATTGATAAATAGAAAATGATAAAAAACAGATGAAAGAGAAAATCGTGAAAAAACATAATTACATCTTAGAAAAAGGAAACCGTGGCATTCAAGAAGATTCAAGGAAAAATAATAAGACATGAGGAAGATTATTAAATGGGGAAAGGGATCTAAACGTTTCACAGCAATACAGTGTTGACAGAGTTGAGAAATCCAATATAAAACTGTGTTCAACTACCTCATGACCAAGTCAGCATCCAACTAACAGTTCAGAAACCATAACCAAAATTACCAAAGTCAGAATATACAAATAGGTGGAAACCGTGAAAAAATATCAAGAATTCAACACAAATATAACTAACATTGCCAACTCATCCTAACAGAACTAACAGAAATTTCCAATTGAATCTTCTATCCGTTTTTCTAACAGAATATAACAGAAATTTTACCGGATTCAACTTCATTCTTCATAATCTGGAGAAGAATCACAAAAACGCATCAAACTCTTTCTTCTCCTTTCATATTCATCTTCATCATACTTCAATTTCTTTGGAAGAATCACCAAAAAACCAAAAGCTCCTCTTCAATCTTTCTCTCTGGATCCTATCTTCACCTTCATTTTCTTTGAATCTCTATCACTTCCTTCATTCCTCAGCAGCACCTTCACTCTGTAACGAATCTCCATCTCCATAACCGAAGTTGATGCTTCTGTAACCTTCATCATTCTTTGTTCTGTTTTCTGCAATTTCTTCCGCAACTCACAACGAATCCACGACTGCAACTATTGTAATATTCTTCATTGCAACCTTCTCTGCAACATCAAGAACGCATTGAATCGTCATCCTCGCGTTAACTCGGTTCTTCAACAACAACATAGAGGAATGAGGTGTGGAAGAAGAATAATCGGAAAAAAGTGTACCTGAGAGTTTCTTTCGTGGCTTCTCGTCATCTTCGTCGTCACGAAAAAGCGTCGGACATTCCCTGGCCAGTAAGCTTCAACTTCTCTCTATTTCTTCATCGATTTCGCTATACCATATTTGCTCTGTTCGCGATTCGGTGTGAAGTTTATGAGGAAGGGATTTAAACCGATGAAATCAAGAGGAGTTATGGTGGCGTTGGGTTGTCTTATAGTGGCAAATGGAATGGAAGATCAACGGAGGTGTGTACATCGATGTGTGTCGCGAGACCTTGTTTTCGCATTTGAAGGAGACGAAATGAAAATCGATTGATGAGGATGGAAATATGAATCGTTGGAGAAGGAGGTTGCGGCACCATTGGTGTTGAGGGATCGCAGAAGAGGACGATTGGGGATGACGCGCTGTTGAGATTGAGAAACAAATGGAGTTTGTGTTCGATGATTTGAACCGTCACCCAAACTTAACCTAATTCCCTAAATTTTTTTATTTGATTGTTTTTTTGTTATAATCAATAAATACATAATATGAATAATAGGAGGATGTTAGTGATTTGTTTGTGAAGTAAGTGGACCGAAACTCACCCAAAATGGAGCCCAATATGCAATTTTTTTGCATTTTTGATGTTGGTGAGACATAAATAATTGTTTGGACTATATTAATGGGCCTTCAGCGCATGTTTGTTAGATCATACCACCTGGATTCCAGTTAGCACCCCCCTTTGATCATCCTATACTTATTTTATTAGATTTATGATTTTGCTCTTTTTTTTCTATATTCTTTTATTGATAAAAATTACAAAAATCAATGAAATTTTGTTAGATTTTTTAAAATATTATAGGAATTAATTCCTGATTATATGATTACTTGATAATTGTGATTCACCTTTTCTTATTGAGATCTGAGTCTTATGCAGGTTTATTACGTGATATATGGATATGCTTGATATTCCGATTGTGATTTATTTTCACATCGATGATACTTCGATACTTATTCTGAGCATTTGATTTCTGACTCTCCTCTATTGCTTGGTGAAGCTTACTCAAAGTTTTTCGGGTTTCTCTGATTCTCTTGTTGTGCTACAAACTTTTGTTTGTTTGGTATTTTCTCTTGTTTATCTCATTTCAGCACTTTACTGTTTTCTAGATATCATGAGAAGTAGGAAATAAAGAGCGTGCGCTCGAAGTCGTTGTTTAAAGTCCTGTAGCAGGCACTGCTTTCTGTATGTTATACGTGTTTGTTTAAAATCCTACCTTTGAAGTAGGTATTTCACACGTGTATTTATATTTGTGCTTGCATCTATTCCCACATCCCTTATTGAAGTCCTCAAAAGGAGACGGGTGGAAAGGGTTAGCAATCAATCCCCACACATTTCGTTTGTATCATCCTTAGCTCGTAATGCACCATGATGCTTTGGAGTTGTTCCTACTCTTGTTATCGATTCGTCAAGTGGAAAAGGGTTTCGCAATCAAACCCCCACATTTTTTCTTGAGCTCACATGGGCGATGTTGACGCTCTATTTTTTTTTCACTCACCCTTACTCTTCTTACCTGGAAATACGAAGCCATGGTACAGATTTGGTTCCCACAAATAGCTTATTTGCCTCGATTGATATGACCCCTTGGCTAAAGCTTCCCACTTCATCCCCTTCCCCTCCTGTTTGCCTCGGTTGATATGACCCCTTGGCTAAAGCATCCCTACTATATTTTGTATCTACCTCGATCATTTATATCTTGGTTAGGCCTTTACCCCAATTAGTATGCACTACTGGTTGCATGTGTATGCTCTCTTGAGCTTGTTAGTTATTTGCTTATCATCCTTGTGTACATGTTTTCTTAGGTTGTGAACCTTTGGCATGTTCCCTTAGGAGCTCTTGATTCACCCTTTGGTGGTGATTCGAGATAGACGTAAGTTTAGGTTGTGAACCTTTACTATGTTACTTTAGGGGCTCTTGATTCATCCTTTGGTGGTGATTCGAGATAGACATTAGGATTGTATTCCATACATGTCAACTTAGGGTAGAGATTTCCATTTTATCCTCAACCATAGGACCACCATTGTATGATAACATTAGGGATAAACTTATATAGTTTCCCTTAGATGTTTTTCTTTCTTTTGCATCCTTGCATTAAAACTAAAACATTTTTATTGGAAAATGTATAAATCATCTAATAAATTTCAAATCCCTTTTCAAGGTAAAAAACATCAACCAACGCAAATTTTTCCTCCTTCGGGTCTTTATTTAAAACTTTCAAAAGAACATGTTAATTTACTTCTGTGCTGACGCGTGAGTCTCCAAAGGTCGAGCTGCGGCAGAAGGCAAAATTAATATTGTTCATTAAAAAGACAAAACTAATTAAAACATGTAAGCCGAACTACGGTAACTCTGATTCCTCAAAAAGGATACATAGGCATTGGGATAGGTCCTAAGCGAGCATAAGTTTATTTTCCCTACATTATTTTCTCTTTTATTTTGCACGCATTCCCTCTTTGCATTTTCTTTTAGCTCTTAAGCTTAGATTTGAAATACACCCTTTTATTAGAACCATAAAAGTGTATACCTAAGAGTACTATGAACGTGTGGGGTGCTAATACCTTCCCTTCGTGTAACAGACTCCCTTACCCGATCTCTCGATCGTTCGACCTTGATTTCACCCTTCTCAGGTTTACTTGATGTTTACCTTTCCTTCTTGTGGGATAAAAAATATTCGATGACGACTTCATTGATTTCATCTCGATGATTTGTTCAGCCGATTGTTTCAGCGTGGAGCACTGCGGAGATGCCCGGACTCGACCTTGAGGTCGTCTATCACCAACTTGTTGTGGATCCATCCGCTAGGGCAGTATTACAATGTAGGCCTAGGCAATCTCCTGAAAAAGTGAAGGCTGCTGAAGAAGCTGTAAAAGACCTCCTAGAGGCAAATTTTATTTTTGAGGCCCAATATTCATCTTGACTCTCCAACATTATGCTTGTTAATAAAAATAATGGAAAATGAAGTATGTGTGTTGACTATACTGATCTCAATCGGGCATGTCCCAAAGATGCATTTCCTTTACCTAATATTGGCATGTTGGTCGACAACTTGGCCGACTACAAAATTTTATCATTTATGGACGCATATTCGGGCTATAATAAAATCCCTATGGTGATGAGTGACAGACATTACACTGCCTTCACGATCGGGCCGTGAAATTACTAGTACAACATAATGCCCTTCGACCCAAAAAACGCGGGTGCAATGTACCAGCGGATGATGAACAAAGTCTTTCATGGAGAAATCAGGGACATGCTCGAGGTGTACATGGATGACATGATTGTTGTACCCCAAAATTTTCCCTCTCATTTCTCAAAGGATCATCCTGGACCCTCGGGTTTACTTCTATCAAGTTTTAAGTCTTGGATTACAATTTTCCAAGAAAGTCATCCACAAGGGCAAAATGGTCAATTGCACAGTGAAAAGTCAAACTTTGACTTTTAGATCAAAAATCAAGTTTCAAGAATCATACTTCATAAAGGCAGGTCAAAGTATGAAGTTTGTTTCATCAAGAAAATCAAAAGTCAAGATTATGTTGAAAAAGTCAAAATTCTAAATACTTCTAAGTGTTTAAGAAATATGATAAATTCAGAACTTCTGGCTAGATTTTCACCATGATGCAAGTTGATTATGGAAGAACTTCTAACACAAGAGTTGTAGACCTCAATGAGATCTAAAACATTACAGAACAAAACTTCTTCTATAAATGCTGGGATTTCAAGTTATACAGCTTCAAAGGCACGTCATTAAAACTGAAACATTCAGTAAATTCTGGACCTTTCCAAAACTGGATTTGGTTAGAACTTCTGGATCAATTTTCATGCAGGTCCAGTCATAACTTACAAGAGCAATTAAAAGAGGGTTTACAAAGCGTGTTATAAACTTTTTGGAAAGTCTGAGAACTCCCTCAGAACACGCTGGAGCAAAGAGATTCAAAGATCAGAAGTTGGATGTTTGTTCTAAGTTGCATTGATGCTAAACTTCTGACCCAGAATTAAGATATGATTCATAATCTCATATTGAAGGATTTATGGTTTGATAAATCTCATCATCATTTAATGCTCACAACCACTTTTGAGTTTTTATCCAAAGGATCTCCTCGCGTGTGAGATAGAAGTACCATTGTTGTCCTTGAAAAGCAAACTTTTGTACAAGAGTATGTTGGGCCCATGCTTTGCTTTTGCTTCTGAGGGTACTTTTCCTTAATTCATGCTTACAAATCTAACTTAGGCACGACTAAAAGCTGCTAAACACCATACTTGTTTAACTTGCTTCAAGAACAAGTCAGCGCCCTAACATCATGGTTGTACCCTTGACCTCTCCAAGCTACTAAAACTTTGCCTATAAATTGAAATCTATTTGAAACTGTAAAATGGTCGAAAGATTGAAAAGAAAAAGCCTCAAAACTTTGTAAAAAATTCCAGGAATCCAAAACTGCAAACACAAAAACAAAACTTGCTAGTTCTTGATTTTTGCATTCAAACTCCATTTTTCCTCAAGTGTTTCTTGGCCAAGTCATCCATACAGCTTCTGATATACATTTAGAAGTTGTCTTACTTCTGTTTTCTAACTGTAACACGTTCTCCATCAGTCTCCACCTCAAAAATTCAGAACTTTGCTTCTTGGTTGTTCCAGAATTTTCCAGCCATTCATAGCCCGAGTTAAAGGTTGTTCCATCCTGCTGAGTACGTGAGGAAGCTGATCAGAATATTACAAGCAGTCAGAACCAGGTTCTAGTTCACAGGACCTTTTCCAGCTGCAAGGTAAGTTTCTAC